GTACCAGCCTTTTTTTTTTTTTAGAACAGAGAAAATTTAACTCTCAAGTTTTCTTCCTTCACTACCTCCACCCCCCAGAAGTCACTTTTGTTTTTGTTAGGTTTTGTTTTTAATGCTTGGTATCTTAGTTTAAATGATTCTTTCCCAGGGCAAGAATCCGAAGGGTGTCTGATTTGCTACTCCTGTTACAGGGGTGGTGCTCTTGATCAAGAATTTCATGAATTTCCTTTCAGTTTAGTTTCTGACTGGAGTGCTCTTTCCCAGTCATTTTCTCCCCCCCTTCTTTTCCACAGTCTGATCTGCTCACAGGCTCCATTTGCGGAAGGATGATGAGAAATTCCCAGGGAGACGTTTTGCCCAGTGTTGACGCTGAACCCTTGTAGCTGCATTTGGGTGGGTTAAGTTCACTGGTGGGGACAGAGAGCAGCCAGAATTCCTCAAACACTGTGAGAGGCCTGGGAGTCTGCAGAATTTTGTTTTGGTTGTTCTGAAATCCAGGTCACTTAAATTTTTGCGGTTGAGGTCAAGGGATGGGATGAAATATGTATACTCTCACTCACAGCCCCCCAGCCCCTGAGTACGCACAAACCACCTTTCTCCGGGCTCGCAGAGGAAATAGTTGCCTGCCTTTGCATAAAGACCTACCAAGGCACTCTTCTCTCCTGTCTTCAAATATCTCCGGGACATGGGCCAAGATCTTGTATTCGCACCAGCCCGCAGGGCATTCTGTTGTAAAGGATGCAGGGCATTCTGTTGTAAAGGATGTCTCCTACTGAGAGACCAGAGACCGACCGACTTTGGCGTTCATGGCTTTACATTTTAGCTCCATCAGATCACATAGGAATATCCTTCCCTGTAAAACAGAACTAATAAAAATTATCTCATAAATGGGATTACATTTGTAAAGCTACTGGCATCCAGTAGCCACTCAACAAACACAGATTTTTGCTTTTCTTCAAAATCTTTCACTTAGGTCACATCATTTGCTCTTCACAGAACCCTGCTGGGCAAACGGCACACGTTCTGTAAGCACCCCCCACCCTTTTCATAGATGATTAACCTGGTGTTTGGAAACTTGCTCAGTAATAATAATAACAACGAACTCTTATCCATGCTTGCTACATGTCAGGCATTGTTCTAACCATTTTACATTTAGTCCTCACAAGTCTATGAAGTGAGCGCTAAAAGTCCCATTTCACAGATGAGGACCATTAAGACAGTGAAAGGCTACGTCATTGCCCAAGGACAAAGAGCTGGCAAATAGAATAGTTGAGATTCAAATCCAAGTAGTGTTGGTCCGAAAGAAGTGCTCTTCACCAGTATACTTCAGTGCCCCTCTTTCCCACGGTTTTTAACTAGTAGATTGGATTCCCATCTGTGAGTCCCAAGTCTAGAGCACACTTCAGACTCAGAGGAGGAATGCATTAGGTCCAGTAAACAAAATACCCTCCTGGAGACAGCACCAGGTTATCTGATCTGCCAGCCGGGACTAGGCACACAGTAGGACCAGAGAGCCAGCCCAGGGAAGGTGCACACAGCCGAGCAGCATGAGAAGCTGAGACGCCCCGGGAGGAGATTTCCCTCTTCACTTTGCCCTTTAGAGACTGGGGTCTAGGGCAAAGGAGGACTATTTGTTTACAGAGACCCTGAAGGTCCACAGCACCTGTTCATTCAATGGTACTTAGCGCTCTTTGTATTGTACTTAGCCGTGAATATTTCTGAAGGGCTCCTGAAGGGCGTGACCAGGTTTTACTTACTTTTCTACCCTCCATGTGGAGCCCATAGTAGGTACTTTAACAAGTGTGAGCTGGATGAATAAATGGTTGCAAACCAAGGAACATCCCTGAGCCCCAAAGGGATTTGGGGTTTGCTTTATGTTTTATTTTGTTGCACCGCAATGAACTACATCTCATTTTTAAGCTTTTTTTTTTTTCTGATAGCAAAAACATTTACATGAAGATTCTTTGGGGACAAATAAGCCAATATTTTCAACTCTTCTCTTAGGGCAACTCTTTTATATTCTACCCATTTTCATGTTTTTATGTTTGTACATTACCCATTTAAAACCACAAATAGTATGACTTTTAGAAACTGAATGTGTGATTTAATAATAAGCATCCACCCCCACCTATTAAAATGCTTCCTAATGCATAAAAGCCTACAAATATCAAGCCACAATGGATTTTATTGACTTCTGTGTAAGTGTTTGAAGTGGATGCCATGTTCCTCTCCATCTGAGATGTGTTGGTAATATTGGACTGTGTTTCTTCCTTGTAATCATTAATGGGCATGGTTGTAAATGGCAGCTTTAAAATAAACGTAAACTGGGGCGCCTGGGTGGCTCAGTCGGTTAAGCGTCCGACCCGGCTTGGGAGTCCGCGATCTTGGTCAGCGGGTTGAGCCCAGCGTCGGGCTGGGCTGATGGCTCGGAGCCTGGAGCCTGCTTCCGATTCTGTGTTTCCCTCTCTCTCTGCCCCTCCCCCATTCATGCTGTGTCTCTCTCTGTCTGAAAAATAAATAAACGTTAAAAAAAAAAAAAAACGGGGCGCCTGGGTGGCGCAGTCGGTTAAGCGTCCGACTTCAGCCAGGTCACCATCGCTGATCCATTAGGGTTCGGCCACGTCAGGCTCTGGTGATGGCTCGGAGCCTGGAGCCACCATTCTGTGTCTCCCTCTCTCTCTGCCCCTCCCCCGTTCATGCTCTGTCTCTCTCTGTCCCAAAAATAAAATAAAACGTTGAAAAAAAAAATAAAAAAAAAACAAAACAAAACGTAAACTGAAGTTTTGAAGATGAGTTTCACAACTCTTAACATTTTATTCAGTGTGCTGAGGAGGAAAAACTTTTCTTCTACCCTCTTAGGTTCAGTATCTGGGGCCCTGAGAATTAAACAGAGACAGGTTAAAAGGAGAAAAAGTACACCATTTTTGTTAATATTTATGTGCGCAAGAGTTCACCAAAAAGAAATGAAACTCAAAGAAGTAGATTCGGGCACTTACATATTATTTTAACAAAGGCATGGGGCGCCTGGGTGGCGCAGTCGGTTAAGCATCCGACTTCAGCCAGGTCACGATCTCGCGGTCTGTGAGTTTGAGCCCCGCGTCGGGCTCTGGGCTGACAGCTCAGAGCCTGGAGCCTGTTTCAGATTCTGTGTCTCCCTCTCTCTCTGCCCCTCCCCCGTTCATGCTCTGTCTCTCTCTGTCCCAAAAATAAATACACGTTGAAAAAAAAAAAAAAAACAAAGGCAAAGGGGCTTGGGCTTCATGGGATGATGAATTGTGGGGAAGAACTCAGAAATATATAGGGGGACTAATGGAAAATCGGGGCTATTTTAGTAAAGTCTCTTTATGCAAACTCATCTTGGTGTTGACAACTCCCTGTCTTCTTCCTTGACTCTTCTCTCCCTGGTGGGGGAAGGATCACCTGCGCCAAAGGGAAATTTGTACACTGCTTTTAAGCAAATAAGGGAAGTTCTGAGAACACTTCCTATGTCTGTTGATTCTTAGTTGCTTTCAGCTCAAAATAATCCTTACACCAAAATGGCATCTTTGGGGATGGTGTATTCTGATCTGCTTCCTATGGAAAGTAAAGAATATTACAGCTGAAACGTGTGAATTATTCCCAATGTTACTGCCTTTTTCACAAGTCCTTTCGCAAAACAAAAACAAAAACAAAAAAACCACACACACACACACACACACACACACACACACGCAAACAAAAATCCAGCAGCTTCCTTGTTAAGGAAATCTGTTTTCATATGTTTTCTGACCTGGCACCTGTACTTTTCTGTTGTTTGTGGCATTTCCATGAGTTCTTTTTAAATTATTAAAAGTAAGGTACAATTATATAAAGTCTATTTACAAAAAAGGGGAGAAGGCAAGTCATCCATAGCCGGACCTTTTCTATTACGAACTATGCTTTTGCATACTTTCTTTCAGTGTTATCTACGTGCTATAGTTGGAGTGAGGCAGGGCATGGAACATATCACCACAGGCTCTGTGCTATTGCTCGCTCACGGTGGTCATTACTGAGCAGCTGCAGGGTTGACCTCACCACTCTTCAGTCCTCAGACACCTGAGCTGCCTGCCCAGGGGCAGTCTGACTTCTAGCCAGGGGAGGAGGGCCTGTGGGGTTGGCCGCTTCTGGCCCGGTGGAACTTGGGCCTCCAAGAGCCGCTGCAGAGGCTCTCAGGTTAAGGTGAAGTATGGCCAATGGGCTTATAGCTCCGGGCTCCCTTCTTGCTCTCTTCCCACTGCCGGGCTGAGGGGAGTGGACTTCCCAGGCCAACCCTCCATCCCCTTGCCTGAGCCTTGCCACACCAGGGCCCTCCCAGGGTGGGTCCCTCCCAGCCACTCTCTCCTTCTGTCCTAGCAACCTGAAGACCTCCCGGGTGGAGAGGAAAGACCTAGGCGGTGCACCATGGCCGTCATGGCCCACCTGCTGGCCGCCGATGTGCAGCAGCTGCTCCACAACAAGTTCGTGGTCATCCTGGGAGACTCTGTCCAAAGGGCCGTGTACAAGGACCTGGTGCTCCTGCTGCAGAAGGACCTCCTGCTCACTCCCACCCAGCTCAAGGCCAAGGGGGAGGAGAGCTTTGAACGGGACAAGCTGGTGGACGGAGGCCAGCGGGGCCCCATGCACAACGGCATCCAGTACCGGGAGGTCCGCCAGTTCTGCTCCGACCACCACCTGGTGCGCTTCTACTTCCTGACGCGCGTGTACTCCAGCTACCTCGAGGCCATTCTGCAAGAGCTGCAGTCCAGCCAGCACGGCCCCCCGGACGTGATCATCATGAACTCCTGCCTCTGGGACCTCTCCAGGTACGGTCCGGACTCCTGGAAGAGCTACCTGGAGAACCTGGAGAGCCTGTTCGAGCGCCTGGGCCAGGTTCTGCCCGAGTCGTGCCTCCTGGTGTGGAACACAGCCATGCCCGTGGGCAAGAAGATCACCGCGGGCTTCCTCCCGCCGGAGCACCGGCCTGAGGATTCCTCCCTGAGAGACAGAGTCATCGCGGCCAACTTCCACAGCTCTGTGGAAGCGAAGAAACACGGCTTCGATGTGCTGGACTTGCACTTCCACTTCCGCCACGCGGGGCGCCACCTGCAGCGGGACGGAGTGCACTGGGACGAGCTCGCGCACCGCCACCTCTCCCAGCTGCTGCTGGCCCACGTGGCCGATGCCTGGGGCGTGGATCTGCCCCGGCGGTACCCGGTGCGCCCCTGGATCCGGGATGGCCCCGCGAGGACCGGACCCGGCCCGGGAGTTGAGCGGCAGCCCCAGGCCAGCCCAGATCAACCGTCCATGCCTCCTGCCGGGTACCGCCCCCTGCTCCCACTTCCCCATCTACCCCCGCCCCCGCCTCCCCTCCTGCCCTTGCCCCCACATCCTCGCCCTTTTCCCTTTCACCCTGTGATGACCAGATTCCAGTTCGGTCCCCGAGATCACTTTTCTGCCTCAGACCATCCTTTCCAGTCCGATCAGTTCTCCTCAAACCATTTCCATTCAGATGTCCCCTCACCTACCCAGACAGGATTTTCCTTTGAAGATGATCCCCAGCCACCCAGGCCCCCTTTCCCCACACCCTACCTGCAGCGGGCCCCTGTGGTTCATAGGGGGTTTCCCCGGCGTCTACCTCGTGGCCCCTATGTGCCCTGGGGTCGGCGGCCCAGATCTTCCAAGAGACAGGCCCCATCCCACCCACAGCCAAGGCCTCAATAAACTGACTTGGGGGCCTTACTCCTCATGGTGGACATGGACTGGGCAGATCATCTGACTCTCCTGAAACAGCCTGACCTTGTTAACAGAAGCCTTTGCTCCCTGCTTGGACTTCTTTTTGGTCATTGCTGTTACTAATAATGGCCTAGAAGAGCCCTTCAACCATTTTTGTTGGCTGTGGCCTTTTCCTCCAATCGCTGGCGGTGACCAAGCATTATTCCTGCCTCTCCACTCCCTGTCCTCTTTGTCTTTTTGTAAACCTAAAATTGAAATAAAGAAGTAGTTTCACAAAAGTAGTTGTAGATTTTGCGTGTGTCTGTATGTAATGGTGCCTCCCCTTTCCATTAAATAATTAGCTTAAAAAGCAAGGACGGTATCTGTTGACTTGAGTGTTTATGGCATCTACTTGACAAACTATTCAAAGTGGAATTTGTCTAAAATCATTCTGAGGCTTTCCATAAAATACACCTGATTCCTTACGAATAAGCAGAAGAACTTTAATTTTTTGTGGTCTTTTCCAGAGATTCTCAAAGACTCATTGAATTTTAAAACTGGGAAGAGTGGGGGCGCCTGGGTGGCTCAGTCGGTTAAGCGGCCGACCGGCTCAGGTCATGATCTGGCAGTCCATGAGTTCGAGCCCTGTGTGGGGCTCTGTGCTGACAGCTCAGAGCCTGGAGCCTGTTTCAGATTCTGTCTCCCTCTCTCTGATCCTCCCCTGTTCATGCTCTGTCTCTCTCTGTCTCAAAAATAAATAAACGTTAAAAAAATTTTTTTTTAAATAAAAAATAAAACTGGGAAGACTGAATATATAATATTTAACGCAAACAAGGTAACTGCAGCTAAGCATGGTGAGTAACTTGTTCTAGGTCATGCAAGAGCCCTCATCCACCAGTCTTTCCTACTTAATGGTATAACTTTCAAACCACAGGACTAATTTATTTATACCAACTAATACCAAACCAAGAAGGACAGGTTACCAAACATGGTCCTTCTATGAAAATGATGGTGAAAACCCCTCATAGCTCCATAACTCCAGAAGTTTATTGGTTAGGTGTGCAATGAATTACATACGTACACTAGAGTGGATGGCATGCTTGTGACTTTATGATTTTTTGGACAGTCTTGAGTTCGCGACTTGAGAAAATTAGAAAAAAGTAAGTTGCATTCAATGGCAATGTCTATCGCCATCATATAATAAAACTACCAGTGGGAAGGGAACACGCAGGACACGACTTGGACAGATGGCCATGGCCAGCTCTTCTCTGTTTTGTGGGAATGTTAACATCACCAAGACTTTATGTTCTAGGCCCTTTATCACCCCAGACTAGTGAAGTGTTAGCACTTAGATAAAATAGCCCAAACAGGTCATGACTAACATTGAATGATAGATTATTTCATTGGGTTGATTTGACTGGTTTATGAGCCCTCCCCTGGACCATTCCTGAACTTGACAAGTTCAAGTGTCAGAAAATGTTATCCCTCAAAAAATGAAATTTGTGAAATCACACATACACACAAAAATAGATGAGATCAGCTCTCTATAGAAGAAATACACAGCAGCTTTTAATCTACTAAAAAACCATGAAATTTGTGGGGAATAAGACCTTCGTCTTACTTACTTTGTGTCTTAAATCCCAGCGCAAATGTATAGCACTTAGTAAGTACTGAATACTGTTTCTTAAATAAATTAGTGAATGAATATGGGGTGTATAAGTCTTCCTGGTGAAACTCACCCAAGTCTCTGACATCTAATCACCATAGCACATCTGAAGGAATATTGCTGAAACAAACACGATGACGACATTCCAGGACTCTAGAAAGGTGGAGTCTACATGTCAGAATTTGCCAGAACATACCAGCAAACTCAGGACAGAGAGTACCTGTCCAACCAGTGTAAATGTGCTAATCCCAAGGAGGAGATTAATGCACCGGGCTGTAAGATTTGGTGAAATTAGCCATCGATACGAGTCAGTTGCCTTCTTCTGGCTTCACATTCCCCAAGCAAGACAAAGCAGTGCTTAGTGATTTGAGTAAGCTCACTCATTTAGTATGTATGTTTCCATGGATAAACAAATCAGTGGTGTGGTTTATATCTCTTAGGAGTCAGGCCAGTGTGTACTATTCCTCTTTAATCTGATCATACCTGACGAGGCAAGGGGAATGAGTTCTCACATATACATATATGTGAGAGGACCAGACATACACAGTGCTGAGGACCAGAGACCAGACACTGAATCAATGATGAATCCACTATAATACGACATGGATTAAACTACACCAAGCACTTATCGGTCCTGTTTCTCTCAGAGGAATAGGAGTGCAGGTAGACTCAAGCAGGGACAATCTTTTCCTGCCCGGGTGTATTAATTTCCTGGGGCTGCTGTAATGAAAACCACAAACTTGGCGACCTAAAACAACACATATTTATGCTTTTAACAGTTCAGGAGCTCAAAAGTCCAAGCAGAATCTACCCAGGGTCCCGTGCCATCCCACAGGATCAGGCCTCTGCCTACCCCTGCCATGTCATCTTCTGGAACTCTCTTCTTTGCTGTTCACACTGGGCTTCCTTCTGTTCATGTTCGACATGCCAAGCTCTATCAGAAGTTGAGACTTTGCCCTTGCTATTTCCTCTGCCTGGAATATTCCATATCCCCTGCCCCTGGTTTCTTTGGATATCTAACCCTTCATCCTTCCATCCACATTTTCCAAGTAACCTCCAAAGGCCTTTTAGAATCATGCCATCTAAAAGTACCATGAAGATCTACCCTGGCACTCTTTCTGTCCTTGAATTGCTTACCCGCCCCCCAGCAGTGGCTTTGGTAGCTGGCTGTGTGTTGGCCGCTCCCATTAGAAAGTAAGCTCTGTTGAGTCTCGTTCACTATTGAATCACAAATGTCTAGTAGCACAGTGCCTGGCAAGGAAGGTGTTCAAGTATGTTTACTTTAGATAAATGTTCAAGAACGTTAATTCACATTGTGTACTCATGAGAATGCAACTGATATTAAAATTGAGCTGTAGATGGCCACTTTTTTTTAGAAAATGTCTATAGAATTCTCCCTTTATCTAAGTCATTCTGGGTGGCTGGCACCCTTGAACTTCTTCACCCCCATGGGATTAGCCTGACAGCACCTTCAGTGCGAATTTCATACATAACGCCGAGCTTTCTTCTTTGCCTATTTTTACTTGCTACCTTGCTCCTTAAGTCAAGAAACCTAACAATGCAATCAAGCCATTGTCTGGGAAGAAGAGCCTAAATTATTCAACGGTTATGAGAAAAATTATTGTTTCATTGTTAAGACTTAACAGTGCAGGGTCCATTCGGCCTAGTCTCCAGCCTCAAGAAATGACAGCGCTCGAAGCTTTTTATACTTGACTCTTGTCTTCTGGAAAAAGGAAAAAAAAAAAAAGTAAAATCAATGATTAAATTAACATTATCCAAGCAGCCTATGGTTCTCACCTTATTCTAGAATCAGGTATACTGTTATATCAAAGGACAAAATTTCAAAGCTATAACTATTTTTCCATAAGCACAATGCAAGGCCCAGCATTGGAAATCAAATGGAATCTTATAGCCTTTCATAGGATGGGGATCAGCCTGCTCTCCCCAGGTCAGCCACAGAGCTCTTGTTTCCACACCCCCCCCACCGCCCCCGCCCTGCATTGCATGTTACTTCCTCTGAGCTGCAGCCTCATCTCTGACAGCTTTATGTTCATGAATTCTGCAAAGGTAAGTTATTTGGACCATTAAGGCTCATATCTAAGGGATTTGCCATTATTTTAAACTATTAGATGCTTGTCTTTAAAACTCTAGGATCAGTATCTCATTCCTACCACTTTAAAAAAAGGCTTCTTGTCACTGCACCCTTAATTCATAGATACGGTTTTTCAAAAGACTTGACTCTACCCATTAAACTTTAAAGAGAGCTTTCCTAAAACATGTCTCTCTGAGCCCTAATCTTTACATGCATGCTGTAGGCAAGGATACTTGTAAGGATTTGTTCTGTAATTGCCCCATGTGGAAATTCACAATGACTTTTAATGGATTAGAGGCTCTGAGAGGTTCTGCGTGAAATGAACTGGATTAAACATGTTCAACCTAGTGGTTTCCAGATGTATTCAACCGCATATGAAAATACCTTTCCATTTGTATGATCTCCGAAAAACATGTTTTGGGAAATATTGTTCTAGAGAATGCCATGTAAAACAGGCGGTGTAAGTGCAAAGAAGGCTCGTTACTGACATTTTACACACGAAGCCCCTTTTCAATGGAGCATTATAATAATCTGGGCCAAGTATGAGATAATATTCATTAAGTAGGCCTGTGACAAGTCTGAGATTGGCTAGTTGAGCGAAGTGGGATGAAATGGACCAGGAATGATGGCCTTCATCTTGTTCTAAGGTGGGGGGCTGGGGTGAGAAGGGGGCTGTGTGGCCAGTCCAGACGACACAGCAGGGCACGCAGCGGAGGTAATAGTCATTCAACACAGCACCCTCTGTCAGCACTTAACAACATGGTAAGAGGCAGGCCCCAGCTCTCTAAGAAAGAGCCTTTCTTGGAAGAATGAGAGCACCCACAGAAGCTGCTGTGGCCATGTCATGTGGTCTGTGACACGTAGTCTGGGCCCTGAACAGCTTCCCCTGCATCATGCTGCAGTGATGCCTCTCCGACCTGGGTGGTACCTGGTTTCTCATCTTTACTTCCTGCTCCCATGTCTATGTCACATGAACTAGTATTTGATCTTATCTTTCATCTCCGTGATTCTATCACGCTGCCAGATGGATCCTTTCCCTATCACTCATTTGTCCCTAACCACACAGTGCCCCAAGGCACTGGTTCTCAAACTTTATTTGGAGTCTGTCAGAATATCCTGGAGGGCTCGTGAAAACATCACTGCCACGATCTCCTTGGCAGAGTAGAGCCCTAGGATCTGCATTTCTAGTAAGTTCCACACTTGGAAAACCACCAAAGAAACAAAAAATGTAGAAAGAAGCATGTAATCCTA